CACTAACAAAGGAAGTATGGTTGAGTTTTCCTTTCATGACAATTAATCTTTTTCAATAGCACTGGTAAAACTACCACATAAACTTTAAGGCCATAGAGACACTTTTTGCCCATTTTTTAAACAATATTTTTAAGCTTTGAAAGGTTTAATTAAAGTATATGGTAAAAATATTTAAATTTAGCCTTTTATTTACATATTTTACACTATTTTTCTTTACAATATGGCAAATTTGTTTCTTAAATAGCTGTACATCACATGTGGATTTTATTTTGCACTTGATCTTGATCTAAAATACAAAAAATAAAATAAAAATACATGTACACTTTCAGTAAAAAACAAACAAACAAATGACTTCATTTTACTTGAGGTATTTGAAATATGACAACACTACATTTATCAACGCAGTGTTTTAAGAGCCTTATTGTTAATTTTGATAAATAAACAATAAGTAACAACGAATTGTTTTGACCTGTAATGCTTTAACACAGATCAGAATACAGCTAAATGTATAAATCACACAAATACCTCATCCAGAAACATTTCCAGCATTATTTTTTGTCGTAAAAATAATAACTAAAGTTCCACCTTTGCTAAAAGTAAGTTTCACTTCACAATACAGCCACATAAGAAGACAATTTGCATTGTCATCGATCATGCATCAATCTAATTCTAAATACTTGATAACTTTGCATACTTTTGTTTTGACTGAATTTAGTCAAGGAGCAAAGATAAATAATCTACTTTAATAGTGGAGAGGTCGCGATTGTATTCTATCTGAGCACACACGCGATCATGAGAAGACTTGCAGTTCATTTGAAAAAAAAAAGCCTATTTAGGAGCTCGCATATCTGTTTTAGCGATTTGCGTACATGAATGCGCTCTCTCGTGTTAAAATAAAGCACTCGCCACATTTGTAGAAATGAGTTATTGCGCAATACCTCAATTCCCGCGCCGCCATTCAGAATGTATTTAGAGGAGTGACAGGTCAGAGGCGAGTCGACTGGCTGTCGGAGAGCGAAACGTGTATGTAGATCATCAAAAAGGCAGGAAATATGTCCGCGGTTTAATTACTCTGCTAGACATCTCTATAGTGAAAACATCCGAGAAGCAATTTTCCAACAAAACTTTTGTTTTTAAGTTGTTTTCTCTGTCTCTGCAACACAGAAAGCCTTTGTCCCGCCCTTACATTTCACGCGACTAGAAAAGGTGGACTGTGATTGACTACTTTTCATGTCAGTCAAATCACCCTTCAGACTCAATTCTTAAACTTCGGAAACTGATTTTCAGCAGCTTATGTCACAAAGCACTAAAGTAAACATTCTAAGCACAGCGTTGTGATCGCTTCACAAAACAGCCAATGCTGATCACATCGATGTTATATTACGCATCAAAGGGTTTAAAGTGTTAATTGTTTCTTTCATTATTTGGCGATTCCTCCGCGTACCACTAGGAGGAAGCGGTACGCGTACTACAGTTTGAGAACCACTGGTCTAAGCGTTTTCCTTGTCTTGCCCTACCTTGTTTCTTTGTTTGTTTATTGTTTACATTGTTTCGCTGCTTCCCCAATCATTCACCTGTGATTCTGATCATACTTTTGGATTACCTGTATGCTCCAGTTTGCACCTGTTTTGACCTTTGCCTGCCTGATGATTGTTTAATGACCTGCTTTTGGATCCAACGCATTGTCAACCTATCGTTACGAGTATGCTGTAAAACAGTGACAACTTTCGCATTTAGAGAATAAACATCCAGAACATGCAGTTAATCAATTCAGCATAAATGGATGAATCATAATGTGTTTTGACATCACCTCATACCTAATTTTCTCATCAGTGTCAAAGTATCTTATTTAATGTAATTAATGTAATATGGTGTGATATATTCGTTTTGGTATATATTCAATCAAGTTTGTTTTTTGGCCCATTATAAAAAAAAAATTGGGCACCCGTGTTCTGTATGAACATATTCCTCAGTTAAAACCAAAAGAATATAGAAATGAATAAAACCGTAAGTTTTTTTTTTTTTTTTTTTTTTTTTGGTGTTCATATATAAATTTTATTATATAATTCATATCTAAATTTTTTAATACATTGCCTGGCTGATTTGCTGAAATGTCCCATAATCAGAAATATTATGGCGTTTAATTCTCTTATGCTGTTTTGACACAATCTACGTAGTAAAAAAACACTATAGAAATAAAGATGAATTAAACTGAAATGATGACAAAATCTTAACCTTCTGGAATGTCATGATAGGGTCATCCAGAATCTGTGTAGATGAAATTGCTGAAGGGCAATGTTTTCCTTTGGTCTGGATAAAGCGTTGGAGTGGTTTAGCACTCGGCAGGATTCAGTCTTGGCACTCGGCACTGTATCAACACTCTGTGTGTTTCCTCAACCTTCAGGCTGGAACGCCAGAGGGCCAGCGCAAACAAACCCACACACTTGTGCCAAAAAACAAGCCTTTCAAGCTAAAGGGAAGGTTGCGAGGCTGCTGGTGTTTTACTAACATACCGCCCCAAATTCCTGAGCCCTTAAAATGGCACTCATGGCTTAACTTCATTAGTGGGTTTAGATTTAATTACACCTCATTAAGTGTCTTTTTTTTTTTTTTTTTGCAGCAGCAGTTCAAATATTTAATCAATTTTGAGGTGTTGCGTAGGGTTTTGTAAAAAGAAAGGGAAATTGTCCCAGGCGGGGTTTAGATTTGTATCTGGGAACTGTAGAGCCGAGGGCTGGTGTCAGTTCAACTGCAAGCTTTTTAATCTGCCATGTTGGCCGAGGGAAGCAGATGTTGGATGTCTCTTCAGTTTAAAAGTCTAGATAAATTTGCTTTTGCAGCTTATCTGAATCATAAAAAAGTCTGCATTACATGTCTTAATTAGATTTAGCTAGAAATGATAAAAAAGGTATTTATCTTTAATTTAACTGACATGCATATAACTATATAATAACATTTGCAACTTTGGTTTCAAATATTTTTTTTAAAAATAATGAGAAATTTTCTTAAAATTGTTTGGTATTTAAATACTTAAAATGTATCTATTTATTTTGCATTTTGACCTAAATATTTGTAATAATTTAAATGAACATCCTTCAGAAGTTTTGATTTCAATTTTTCTTTTTTCTAATTCATTGGTATGGTATGTAACTTTAAAAAGGTTGTAACTGGTATGTAACTTATTAACTTAATGTAATATAAAGAATCAGATTATATTTTATTCTGTTTTGTTATTTGTTTTTGTTTTTATGAAGAATATAATGAAATAACATTAAAACTGGTTCCTAAATAAATATATTTGTAATATATGACCCTAGTTTATGAATGTTATGCTGCACATGTATGTTATATAGTCAAAAATGCATTATAAAGGTAGAATTATAGATTTTTTTATATTGCTGTAAATCACTGCAATATTAAGTAAAGATGATAAAGAAAAGTGTCAATTTTCAGTAAGTTTCCTACTGTAAATATATCAAAACCCAAATTTTGATTAACCCTGTAAGACCCAAATATAGATGATGAGCATTAAAATGAGCAATTTGAGATGAGCTCAATATTTTTAACTCTTAGATATTGTTTTAGGAGGCCTCTGATGTAAGATTTGAAGATTTATTTTTTTTTTTTTTTTGCAGTTTTTCCACCTCATACAAACAATACTGCCTGAATGCCCTACTATGGTCCCTCCCTTACTAAAAGGGACACATGCATCTCCCCAGAGCACGGCTTTACATTCAAGACCATTCACACCAGTCTCTGAACAATGCAAAAGGCTACCACTCTAACCTAACATTGTAGAATTACAACATAGACATAATAAGCTCTAAATCAAATTTGATAAATGTTTTCTAAGTGTAATAAACACAAAAAAATATATTTATTACTTAAATCTTGACAAATCCGAAAAGGAGATCAGCTCAATGTGAAGGTCACACAATAGGACCCATTCATCATGTAAATGTGATTCTATGAAAAGAAAACATTTGCTTGCATGTTTTTAGAAGTGTTAAAATTGATGTTGTAATTCTGCAATTCTGGGTTAATCCCAGCAGGGCCAGGACATCAATATGACATCAGATTGACAGTGAACCCCAATGCCGTGGGACATTGCATTTTGTTTAGAAATGATAATCTGGATGACATCAGAACCCAATGTCAGGCTGATGTTGGTGCCCAATGTCTGGCAGATGTTACATTTTGGTTACATTCCAATGCAGCGTTAAAACAGCAAAGTACCAAAGTCTAATGATGTTACAACTTGACACTGTGTGGACGTTACCAATATGACATCTATTAGATGTTGGATTTTGGTTGTCATACCCCATGAATAAATGTCAGTATTTGATGTCAATATAACAATGGTTTAAGATGTTGGCTCAATGTTGGATTTTGGTCACTTTCCAACACAACCTAAAATTGTATTGATGTCATTTCACGTCATTATTGGACATAAAAAATACATTGTCCATAGATACTGATGACTTAAATCTAACCTAATAATAATATCTTATGACATTGTGTGTCTGCTGGGATAATACGCATTCACTCCAAAGATTATTAGTGCTGCTTATTCAAACTACTTATTTAAAATGAGCTGATTAAACACAATTCTTTTTTCATTAAATTACATTTTTGGGGGACAGCTTCATTGTTTTATGTTCAGTCCACTTTAATTTGTAAAAAATAATTAAATTAACTTAATTGATTTGTGTTGGGACAACATGAAGGAATTGTGTGCAACAGCATTTCCTACAGTATCGCTTAGTAATTAAATTAAAGAACTTTACATTTTTTGAACCTTACGATTTTAAATTACTTGTATCTTGGCAAAATATTGTCCTATTAAACCATATTTGACAATTGAATGTTTTTATTCAGCATTGATGTAAAAATCTCATTTTATTTAAGTGGTCCAGAGTTACACATGTATAATATTCATGCACTGATCTAATGTTTTTCCCTTTCTCTTTTTCTTCCCTTTCTTTGTCTTTCTATTTTAGGATGTGTTTGGATGCACGCGACCCTTACTGTGGTTGGGACCGAAAGCAGCGGCGTTGCACCACCATTGAGGACAGCTCCAACATGAGCCAGTGGTTCCAGAATATCACTGCCTGCCCGGTAAGAGTCCAGGGCTCTCACTCCTTCATGCATGACTGCTGTTTGGACACATGTCCACCGTCTCCCACTGCAGCTTTCAAATCTGTGTTGTGTGAAAGGTGCTATGCCGCATGATTGATAACATCACTTGAGCCAGCTGCTTTCATGGTCATTATCTTTTGGAGCTGAGATTCTGCACGCGCCCAACCTTCAAACTCACTTGTTTTTGTTTTTTCTCATTTATTTCAGCTGAGGAACCAAACCACAGATGGTGCGTACGGGCCCTGGGCTCCATGGCAGCCCTGTAGCCATGATGATGGTGAAGGCACCAGCACGTGTCTTTGTCGATCGCGGGTATGCAATAGTCCACCGCCTCGTTGTGGAGGAAAAAACTGCCAGGGTCCCACCATTGAGGTGTCCAACTGTTCAAGGCAAGTAACGAGTTTTCTCAATAAATAGTTCACCCAGATGATATTCTATTGTTTTTAGGGATGCACTTACATGATGACTTTTTTAATGGCTGACGCTAATTATAATAATTAACATTTGTCAAAAGTATTCTATTTTAAGTTTGGATAACAAACACAGGTAAATACTTGGAGTGAAGGAAAATGCTTATTTGTCTTATGTGTCTGAGCTGTCAATAAAAATCAGAGGTGAATGAAGTAGAGTTGTGAAAATCTGCTTCCTCATATTGAGAATAGGCTACATTTGAAATCAGTAACCAGTGTTGGGGATGCCCTTTTAAACTGCTGCAAGCTGCTACAAAATGTAAACAAACTACATTTCTATAAGCTAGCTACACTACAAGTTACTTCCTAAACATAGCTAGTAACATTGAAGCTACTTTTTTTCCACAAAGACGTAAAATGCAGCATTTTAATAAACAATGATTTTAAGAAAAATATATTTTCTTACTTAAAACATTGCCAAATACCACAGCTCAAATTAATGGTTCAGCCAAAAATGAAAATTCTGCCATCATTTATTCACTTGGATTTGTTCCAATAGTTAAATTTTTTTGTTTTGTTTTGTTAAAAAACAAAAGAAGACAGTTTGAAGAATGCCGAAAACCTGTTACCATTAATATCAATAGTAAGAAAAATTAATACTGTGGAAGTCAGCGGTTACAGGTTTTCAACATTCTCCAAACTATATTCTTTTGTGTTCAACAGAACAAAAAACCTGAAACTGATTTTAAACAAATCAAAGGTGAATAAATGATGACAAATGTTCATTTTGAGATGAACTATCTTTTTTATGTTTATTTACACATCATTTTAAATGTGACTGTTAAGGGTCAAAGTACAAAACTAAAAAAAGCATTGCATTGCAATGACTAATAATTAACTTAGATTAAGCATTTTCTAATAGCACTTCTTAAAAAATAAATGAATAAAACAGTGACATGGCTCCATTTTGATAAGGAATTTATTTTAAAACCTGTGCATAACATTCATTCTTCAGGTTATTTACCAACTGTTAGAATACTTTATGGTTTTAATTTCTTAATTTAACTGTTCAACTGACAAATATATTTTAGCAAAATACCAGCAATAAATAAATAAAAGTAAAACCATGACTATTACTACCTACTACTATAGGGTATATGCACAGCTAGTGTTTCTTCCCATACCGATAAACTTCCAGTGAACGGTTATTGTGACTTTTTTCAATTTCATAAGATTCCTTTTACAGCATCAATGTTGTGATGTAATTAAAATACAATGAGTTAAAGAGACTTCAGCTTTCATTTAGTTGTTAAAGTGCAAACCGAGATAAAAAGCCATTTACATGCATGCTCCCGTCAGGATCAGCAGATGAGAGCAGAAACACCATTGAAAATACTGGAGTATAATATAAATAAATGTTCATATTTTAAAAACATGGTGTGGGGTAATGTAATTTAATGCAGTGCTTTTTCTACAATCTGAGACCTACTTTATATTGTAGGCAGGGGAGATAGGCTTCAGACCTTAAACACGCCAATTTTGTAACTGCATTCACTGGAAGTGCTTAACCCAGGTTACTGCAAAATTAAATGTCCTTCTGCATACTTCTGCATACACCCTATTGTAATAATCTTATGACTGTGTTGCTTCAGACCATTTCAGGTTTACTAATGGAATGCAGCTGTTGTCAAGCTACTATTTGCTGGAATAAGTAGCTAGTGGACAAGCTACAGTGTGTCATGAATAGCTGAGCTACAGTTCAACTGCTGAAAAATGTAGCTAAGCTGGTACATGGTACAGCCAACATGCCAGGCAATCCATCAATGCATCTCTAGTTACAGTGTTTCAGACTATCTGTCTATTATTTTTCTGTACACTGCTATCCTGTATCCAAGGTGCTGAAACTGAGCTGTGTTTTTACCAGAAGTGGCAGTTCTCTCATCGCGCAGGATGTGCTGCAGGAACTGAGCACTTTAGCAAATTGAGAACGTTTCCCGATCAAAACTCTTTACCAAAGCTGTCCTCTTTCTCTTCCATCACGTCACATTAACCTCATCAAATGCGGCAGTGTTGCTGGAAAATAGAAAGTTTTTCTACATCCCAAATAAGAAAATGGGCTCTTACCTATCACTTCTTGTCAAGGCTCACCAAGATGCTCACTTTTTTTTTTTCTTGCTTGATTTTATTTTTTTTTTGTGTAGGAATGGAGGATGGACACCATGGTCGTCCTGGGGCCAGTGCAGCACAAGCTGTGAGATTGGGTTTGAAGTTCGCCAGCGGTCCTGTAACAATCCTTCACCCAGGCATGGAGGCCGAGTGTGTGTGGGGCAAAGCAGAGAACAAAGGTATAAGAGGAAAAATATATATTTTCTTGTGCAATATGGCTTGAAACATACCATACTTTTAATGACATTCATCAGTTATTTAAAGCAGTTTAGGTAATATAATTAAGGATCCTTAAATTAGACTTAATTGACTTTCAGAAGAGAAAATTTCTTGCTTTTTAGTTTTTTAAGAAAAGCTTTGTCACACTTGTGGCCCTGGGGTCCTCTGATAGTTTTTAAAGTAATAGAAAAAAGTAATTACTTTCTTACTTTGTGTTTTATATTACCATTTTTACCCTCTGATCCTCTTTTGTGCCTTAGAGGACCACTTTACTGACTTTTTCAGTACAATAAGAGTTCATAGTGACCATGGCTGTTCAACTCCAAAAAGGATTAAAAACACTGTCCATACAACCATATTCCATGTTATCAGAAGCCGTGAGATACATTTTTGTGGTGAACTAATTGAAATTCACGTTTATGCATTTAGCAGGTGCTTTTTTATCCATAGTACTTTACAGCAGAAGAACATACTGTAAGCAGGACAAGAGCCAACAATATTTATAATGAACTGTGCCAGTGTTTAACTCCATGTGTTTAGTTCCCAGGGAACAGGCAATGTTATTATAAAAGTGTCTGCCAAATGCATGAGTGTAAATAAATAGAAATGGAAACACCTACAAGTAGCCCACACTCTTCATAGATGGATGCTGCTGCAATTTCAGTAACTGTGTAAAAACATATAAAACTTTCTGTAATATCAGACAAGGTATTAGTGAACTCACACATGTGTGGCCAGGCACTGTTTCTGGATACAATAAAGTCTGCATAGCATCTTTAATTTTAATCTTATTCTGTAAAAATACTGTATGTGAAAATACTGTGTTGAATGGTGCCTTGTTTGTAAACAAATACACTGCAAAAACGAATTTACTTTTAAAAAGTGAGTAAACCTGTTGGCTTTAAAGTTTTAAGTAAATGTGGATATGTGCATAAATATACAAATAAGTTCAATCAACTTAAAGTTCCAAGTTACAATGGTTTTACTCATATTTTCAAAGTAAAGTCAACTTGTCGCTTTTATGTAAGTTTTTTTTTTATAAGTATATGATCGGTTTTTCAGTGTATGGGTTTAAATTAATGTAAATACAGGACCAAGTTCTTACTGACGCCATCTGGAATTTCATTAGTGATAAAGTTTTAACTCTTCCCTAATGTTGGGATCAGGCAAAGACTGTTGCACTTTGGCCTCAGTTTAAGCTGTTTTGGGCCAACGAACAACTTTTGAGATCTTAAACTTACAGGAGTTTTTATTAGAATCAGTGGTATAAAGACTGAAAAACATAAATCAGGTTGCTGTGTTTACATGTAGAGTGAAATCTGTGTAACTCTGACTAACAAGATTTGAGAGTCCAGCAGTTGGTGCTGCAAACCAAGTTCATACAGCACCGATAGGAAGTCATTGTGTATAATGAAAATGCACCTTAGACACTTTTAAGTCATCCACACTGTTCATGTAAGTTGCATTAATAAAGTGTGTTTTAAGGTTGCTTTGTCTGATGCACACTGAAAAAAAATATTCAAAGTTGATTTCTTGGATTTACTAAATTAAGTTAAGTGATTGAAAGCAATTTATGTGGGATGAATTTAAACAAAGTAAACTGAACATTGCTAATTTAATTTGCTTAAATTTAATCCATATAAATTGTTTTCTACAACTTTGCAGACATCATTTTTTATCAGTGGGGTTTTTATATGCACAATTTGATTATATGGGAATCGGAACTGATCATTCTACTTAGCCAATAGCTGTAGTAAAGATGAAAATAAACATATAAAATATTGAATGCAGGTGGAAGGAAAATAGTGCAGTAAAAGTACAGATTCGGCACTTAAAACATACTTAAGTAAAAATACTCACACTGTAAAAATTGCTGTGTTCCACACAAATGTTCCAACACAAATCGATTGAGTTATGTTCACAACTTTAAGTAGGTTGAACATAAAACATTTAAGTTATCTCTAAAAATAGGAATTGTGTTGTTTCAACTGATTTAAATACGTAGTTTGAACAAAAGACATTTTCTGAGTGCATTTTTAACTGCTTCAGAAAAGTACAACTCCTGAGAAAAACTGCTTAGTTACATTAATTTGTAACTCTGCACCACTGAATATAATGACTTCTCAAATTGTATAAAAATGCTACTTAAAATTATTATCTGATAATCTTCCCTTCTGCTGCAACTGCCAAATCAAATAAGATGCACATTTTAAATGTCAGTAACATTTAACATCAGTCTCATATCCAAATGCTTGTAAAACTTGTGGCCATTTTCAAGTGATTTTTTTAACCTCTTTAAGCTACCATTTCTTTTAAATTTTATCAACTCACAGCAGCCCGACTAAGACTCATGATATCAGTGAAACAAATTTTTTATGCTCTTCAGATTCTGCAATGAGAAGGTGTCATGCCCTCAGCCTATCTTCTGGTCATCATGGTCTCCCTGGTCCAAGTGCAGTGCAGATTGTGGTGGAGGTGTGCACTCTCGCTCCAGGAACTGTGAGAATGGAAATAGCTGTCCAGGGTGTGCGCTGGTACGTATACCTGAAGCACACTCTCTTACATATGCACACACGCACACACACACACACACACACACAAACACATGCGCACACACACGCGCACACACACACACACACACACACACAGTAGCCTTGAAGCCTCCTGCTCGAGCATGATAACCAAGCCGCTCTCCTCCTAGAAAGATACGCGTGATGTACTGTAGAAGCAGAGCTCATTTGTGATTCAGAGTAGACTGAGTGGACTCGACAAATCTAATACACTGTTTCATTGTGGAGATTTATGCAGTTCTGAGACTGTCACTTACATTAAGTTGATCATCCACCCTGCCTGCTGACATTCTTGAAGTTATTTACAGTGCATTCATCATCTTCAAACTGAAAACGAGATAAAACATATATACATAAATTTATTTGGGCATGCTTTTTGTTGCCAAGACAGAAAGGCATATGCTTATAGAGTGCAAAACTGCATGCACACTCTTTCAGCAGCTGTGTTAAAGAGATAGTTCACACAAGGATGAACATTTACTCTTCATGGACTATTTCCAAACCTGTTTTAATTTCTGACTTCTGTTGAACACAATGGAATATGTACTGTAGAGTGTTGGGGGGAAAAGAGCTGTTTTTTGTTTCTACTATGGGTGTCAATGTCTGTTTTTCCCAACATTATTTGGGATATTTTGTTTCGTGTTCAACAGAATACAGAAATTCCTAAAAGTTTAAACTAAAATTTTTGGTGAACTATTGCTTTAAAGCGTTATTATATGGTCTGTTATAATCCATGAAACAAACCAAACAGCTACTGTATAAGGATGATCCTTTACAAATTTTTATTTGAGAAAAATAATTTTGGGGGTTTTCTTGTGGAGCATTTGGAACTGTTGTGCTCATTAAAGGAACTGAATAAAAATTAAATTAAATTAAATTAAATTAAATTAAATTAAATTAAATTAAATTGAATTGAATTGAATTGAATTGAATTGAATTGAATCAAATTAAATTAGTTCACGTTGATTTCCTCTGGGTCCTCCGTTTGTATGTTGTGGGGAATCATAAACCACAAATGGACGTTGAGATAGAAGATTCAAGATTCACAATCATTTCTTCTTCTGTCATTGTTCATGTCAAACGTTACCATGTCTACGATGTCTCAAGACACCATCGCCCAAAGTCTGGCATGTAATTTTCTGAAGCATAGTTATAGCATAAAAGCACTGGTTTTGAAGCACTTTACCTCAGATGTTATTTATTATTTTTGTTTATATACATTTTATATTACTGCCTCTTGCGATTAACTAATCACAATGTTTCCAATTGTGATAGTGATTTAATTTCGGTTAATCACACAGCCAAAGACATGCAGTACAGGCGAATTCAATTCAATTCAATTCAGCTTTATTTGTATAGCGCTTTTACAATGTAGATTGTGTCAAAGCAGCTTCACATAAATGGTCATAGTAACTGGAACAGGGTGGTTCAGTTTTTAGTGTTTAAGTTCAGTTCAGTTCAGCTCAGTTCAGTGTGATTTGAAATCAGTCCAAACACTGAAGAGCAAATTTATCGATGCGTAGCTCTACCAATCCTGAACCATGCGAGCCAGTGGCGACAGCGGAGAGGGAAAAAAAGCTTCACCTGATAGGAGTGAAGAAAAAAAAAAAAAAATTTTTTAATTGAATGAGCCAAATTGGATGTAGTGTATGTGTGTGTGTGAATGCAAGAATGTATGGGTGTTTCGTGGTGCTGGGTTGCAGCTGGAAGGGCATCCGCTGCTGAAACATATGCTGGTGGTTCATTCTGCTGTGGCGACCCCAGATTAATAAAGGGATTAAGCCGAAAAAGATAATGAATGAATGAATTGACCAGTTTTCTATCTGTACATATTTATTATTTTTAATTATGAAAGTGTTAACTGACATCTAAAAAACGTTGCAAGCATGGTCTCAGTAACTCATTTAAATCAAATGACCTTTACTTATTATTATATATATAATTCCTGGTTCCCCAAATGTTTTATCTAACCCTTTTAGCTAGCTAATCAGACTAAATGAATTATAGTTTAAATGGATAAGTCAGCAGATTCTATTTCACAGAGGTACAATTTAAATGTTATTCACATGACAGTTCAAATGTTTTTGGTTTTTTTTGTATAATGATTGATCAACAAATTACACTACAACAAAGCAAATGTCTTCCAGTCACGGTAATTATCCACTAAACAAAAGCACACCTATTTGATCAACTTTATATATTCATTTGTTTATATCTTTCATAACTGGCGTGCTATAATTTCTATACAACAAAAGATTGAGACAAATCAGTTTTCTGAAATGCTCTTCCAGATGCTCTTTTGCTCTTACGTTTTAAATCGCACTGATTTCTTTGCTCTCCGACTCTCTTAAGAGCTGCAATTAATTCAAATTTAATCGACTTAATTAGGACTCAAATTAACGTTCCTTGCAAAGAACCGCAACACCCCCTTGGGTGTCTAGCAAGGAGCCATTAAATTTTATTAACTGTTCACAATGATGGCACAAGGATGGCAGGACATAGCTTCGTGCACATGTGAGAAAGTGAAGTAATGTCCCCTGTGCATGAAAAATTAGCAATGATGTCATCTTCTCACCATTTCAGGAGTACCAAGCATGTAATTTGGAGTCCTGTCCAGAGGTGCGCCGAAACACCCCGTGGACCCCTTGGATGCCAGTGAATATAACCCAAGGAGGGGCACGGCAGGAGCAAAGAGTCCGCTACATCTGCCGGGCTCAACTAGCTGACCCTCATGAACTCCAACTGGGCAAGCGTAAGGTGGAGACACGCTTCTGTCCCAATGACGGGATGGTAACCTGCGAAACAGACTGTGAGTGTATAGACCCTTTGTATTATGCACATTCAGGCTGGAAGTGATATCATTTCAACATTGACATTGCAATGTGTTCCAATGTCAAGTCACAGTTACAGTAGACCAGGCACTACAGTTCAAAACAAACCTGGTTTATGAAGTCACTGCAAGGTTTAACCATCATATCATTTGCATGTGTTTAAGGCTTTTGACTGAGCATTTCAAGCTAGTTTAAAGCATTCAGGCACAAGAAATTATGACAATTGTGACTTCAACAAAGATTTATTGTATTCACTTATTTACACAAAGAGGTCTTTACAGTGATATTTTACATTTGGATATTCAATTTCTGTACCTGAATACTATTAAGCTGGGTATACACAATATGATTTTGCTGTCGTATGTGGTCATAAGTGATTGTTTTCCCTTTCGGGAGGAGTCATGTGGAAATGATGTGATCATTTACAGCGGGCAAGGCTTTATATTTCACACACACAAGGTGACAAGGCAAAGAAAAATAATGTGTATGTTTTGTCTGGCAAAAATATGGCTCATAAAAAATACCTGTTATTTGAGAGAAAGTAAAAGAGGCATAATAAAATTTATATTAAAACATATATCTTCCTACAATTATATCATGCAATAATTCTCACAACAAACAATTTGTACCTCCTAAAACATGTTTATGGATTCAGAATTAACATTTTGTTTTCATCAATTTTACAAAGAACTCCTCAAACTGTTCAATTATCAGAAAAACTTCTGGTCCCACTTTATATTAAGTGGCCTTAACTACATCAAAAAAATAAGTACAATGTACTTACTGTGTTTATAATGTATTTGAGAACACGTGGTGCTTTTGAGTTGGGATAGAGGTTGGGTTATGGACAGGTTTGGTGGCATGGGTAGGTTAAAGGGTGGGTCAAGGTGTCAGGGATGGTCAACAATGTATTTACAAATGTAATTACAAAAGTTAAATACAGATGTAATTACATACATGTATTTAATCAAGCATAAGTACAAAGTAAATACATGTATTTACACAATAAGTACATTGTAACAAACTATTCCTGTGTAAGTACATATTAGTTAAGGTCACTTAATATAAAGTGGGACCAAACTTCTGATAATATTCTTTAACAGTTTATAATATGTGTACTCTATCTTTATTCTTGTAGTTATTGTCACATTTATTACAGTGTCAGCATTTATTGCACCCATATCTAACCTCTTATTTTTCTGTATTTTTATATAACATATTCAGCTGACCACAACACAAAATTCAGTTGTTGTTTTTTCCTTTTTTTCTGAAAGTTATTTATTTGACCACTTATAAAATATTAAAAGAGAAAGAGGGAGGGAGGGAGTAACTCTCGTAGCAAAGAAAGGTTTTCCTCTGTCCATGTTTTTGGCATGGAATTTCATGCGATTGCTTCGGAATGTTTGTGCACACATCATCCTCTGACTATCAGAATTTGCACCATGTACACCCACCTTTAGACTCCCCAGAAAAACATAGAGCACTGTGTATTTGCACTATTGTATTCATCTAATATTTATGTTATTTCCAAATAGAGCAGTTTAAGTCATCTGCTGAAGTTCATATCATATATCATATTGTATCATATAGCATCGCATCAAATCGCATGGAATTGCATGGCATGGTATGGCATGATATGGTATCATATCATATCATATCATATCATATCATATCATATCATATCATATCATATCATATCATATATAATATCATATCAAAGAATTTATCATATAATATATTATCATATATCATATTATACCATATAAAATCATAAATCATATTTCATATTATATATCATGTCATGTATATTATATCATATATCATGTCATATCATATATCATGTAATATCATTTCATATATCGTGTCATACATCCTATTATACATCCTATTATATATTTCTTCAATTCTATTTTCCAAAACAAATCCTCTTTGCACTTAATAAGTTTACAATAAAGTGTGTTAACAAATTTTAAATGATTATTTAAGAAATTATAATGCTTTGACTTATTGTTTATTCTCATTTACAAGCTGAGTAGCATATTTAAAGCTGCTGTATAGGCTATTTCTGTCCATTCGCATCCCGTCCGTTTGTGCCCCCTGGCGGCTTATTCACAAACTGCGGTCATACAATAAAGTCAGAGCGGCAGCAATTTCAAACGACGGCGGTATAAGCTTCGGCGCTAATGGCCACTTTGAACTCTCACCTAGTGTATCATATCATGTATAATGTCATATAATATCATATTTCATATCAAATCATATCATATATTGTGTCATATCATATATCATATATCATGTCATATATCATATCATATCATATATCGTGTCATATATCACATCATATATAATGTCATATCATCTATCACAGTGGTTCTCAAACTGTGGTACGTGTACCACTAGTGGTACGCAGGCTTCCTTCTAGTGGTACACGGAGGAATGAAATATGTCATGTACATGATACAAACATTTCAAAAATGATCAAAAAATGATGTATACAATATGTCATATATGACATATAGCCTATATTTCTGATGTAATTTGCCACATTTTTTAACTGTGCAGAGTTGTAGCTGCTTTACTGGGCCTACTGCGCTACTGTATTTCAATACTGCTCATTTTGGTGGTACTTCAAGAGACAATTTTTTTCTGAGGTGGTACTTGATGAAAAACGTTTGAGAACCACTGATCTATCATATAAATTCATATCATATATTGTGTCATATCATATATCATATGTTATCATGTCATATATTGTGTCATATATCACATCATATATCACATATAATGTCATTTCATATATCATATCAGATCATATATATTGTGTCATATCATATAATATATCATATATCATGTAATATCATATCATATATTATATCATATATTACAGAAAAAGTAAATAAAGCCAGTGTGGTTTTTCCAATATGATTCAGCTCTAATGCACACCCACACATAAATTATCAGATCTGATTTTAGTGAGCAGATCCTGCTGGCTCAATGACAGTTCAGGGCCACAGTTCAGCACTTGCCCACTTTGCGCATGTCGGGCGCCACATTGATTAACTGTAACGTCTGAACTCAAAGGAGGTCACCACTTGAGTTGCACATGGAATGCATTAGAGACAACAGAGTGTCAGAATTCACCTTGTGCTGGTTGCTGTGACTAGAATGCTTTGTCAGAGATGATGTAAAACACAGCATGACATTGGTGGTTTATTTAAGTGACCTTGAATTACACTAGAAGTTGCTGCTTGAAATAACAAACTAATGGAGTGCTGCAGTGACGACGTTTTTGATGGCCAACCCAGAAGTTCACATCACCCTGGTTCACCTGACAAAACCTCAAAAGAATGTTCCCATTGGTTTTTAGATTATAGGAGATAAAACATCATGCCAAAGTATTCATTTTGAAGCATAAACACCCTCAGTGGTTATAAAGGTGGTTATAAATGAACTATGCCATAGTCAACTCTTAACATTACTTTAAATGAAAGATTTTATCTGCAGGTTTACTGGTTTAATGTGATTACCCTGACATCATGGGCCCGTATTCACAAAACATTTGATATTTTTTCCTTTTTACTGTAATTTTTATCTTTTTAGGATTGTTTGGGGTTTTGTCTTATTGTTCTCTTAACTAAATTTTACTGATTTACAAAAGAAAAAAGCCTTAAATAGTCTAGATAGAATGCAATAGAATGCAAAATTGGCCATTATGCTTTGCACGTATGTGTCAGCAGGATGCTTCAAACTTTCAGTCGGAAGCTTGATGCATATAAAGTCACATTCGGACAGCTTTGAAAAGATAGTTTTAGTCCATTTTAATCTATTTTTATGGATGTTTTCCCAGAGATGGGTTGTAGCTGGAAGGGCATCCGCTGCGTAAAAACATGTGCTGGATAAGTTGGCAGTTCATTCCGCTGTGGCGACCCCAGGATAATAAAGGGACTAAGCCGACAAAAAAATGATTGAATGAATGAAATCTAATGGGAGGTGATGAGGTGGCGCAGTGGGTAGCACAATTGCCTCACAGCAAGAGGATTGCTGGTTCAAATCTTGGCTGGGTCAGTTGGCATTTTCTGTGTGGAGTTTGTATGTTATCCCTGTGTTCGAGTGGGTTTCCTCCCGGTGCTGCGGTTTCCCCCACAAGTCCAAAGATATGTGCTATAGATGAATTGAGTAAGCTAATATTGGCTGGAGGGTATGTGTGTGTTTGAGTATGTATGGGTGTTTCCCAGTAATGGGTTGCAGCTGGAAGGGCATCTGCTACGCAAAAAAAAATGTGCTGGATAAGTTGGCAGTTTATTCTGCTGTGGTGACCCCTGATTAATAAAGGGACTAAGACGAAAGAAAATGAATGAATGAATGAATGAATGAAAGAAATGAATGAATGAATGAATGAATGAATGAATGAATGAATGAATGAATGAATGAATGAATGAATGAATGAATGAATGAATGAATAAGACGCAGTTCCTAGAGACAAATGAGCAAACGGTGGGCATGGCTTGTTTTTTCTACCGTGGGCTGAATGGACATAGTAACGAAAGCATTTCATTCAGAAAGATCGGGGAAAGGGGTTTTAGAAAAGTTATTACAACCTAACAGACTCCACCTGCTCACCATTTCTGTTTGTTGTCCAAATAATTGACAGTTGAACCAGCGTCATTAAATATGTTACCCATGCCCAATACCTCAAAATCATGTGATCTGAGAATTTAACTGAAAACAAATTGGAAGTGCATTTTCAGTTTTCAATTAAAGATTAGAAGGGCTAACATTTTTTTTCCTTAATGATATGCACAGAAGAATTGTTCACCACAAAACTGGCAATCTGAGATAACAAAATCATATGGTTAGTTTTGATTTCTTGGGCATTTTAAGCTGTTTTGTGAATACTGGCTTTGTTGTTCAATTTAGCCACTTCCTAGCAACTGCTTTGAAGATAAGATTTTTTTTGTTATTAGTAGGTTATCACTATAATGTATTGTATGTTGTAGATTAAACCACAAAATTTTATTTCACTCCTTTCAAAAAAAAAAAATTATTCAATAAAAAAATATTGACTTCATCACAGTGGAACCAGAGTGCTAAAATTCTTACCAGGTTTTGGGTTACAAAAATGTCATCCTTGCAGCTCTATATTAGCAACCACACCACTGTTCAAACTCCTTAAAGTTGGTGAATTGTTTTTATCCGGCGATTCCGATTATATTGTTCCTTGTTGTATTTGTCATTATGGTGGCAATTACAACTGTGGTGTGGACTTTGCTCAGAACAGAATGCAATAATTTTTGAAGCTCTATACATTGGGAAAAAAATCTGTTAATTAACAGTTTTCTTATTTTGTGATTTACAAGTGTTTTCCGTTTATTTACGGTTTTGAATTGCATTATTGGACCTTGATTTCTGCTCTGTCAACTTTTGATGAAGATTCAACTCTACAGTTTAACAAAGTGACTTTTATTGACATTTTAGTAGTTTGAAATAATACAGAGAGTAAAATAACATAAAATGTACTGGCAGTTTATTACAACGTTTTTGGATCATAATGTACAACAACGGCCCAGACAAGTCATCACTTTAGACTATTAAAAATGTTAACAATCGTCATTTTTTTTTAACTGAGAAAGTTCGAAGAAAGATCAAGGTCCCATTTTGCTATTTAAAAGTATAAATAAATGGTGGAAAATAAGCATGGATCACAAAATACAAAAATTGAATAATTTACAGATATTTTCACTGAGTAGTTATTGTTATAGTTATCATCCTTGGCATCCTTAGCAATGTCAGAGGGCAGGGGGAAAAAAGCTGACAGAAATTAGTCAAGTGGTAAAGAGCAATCTATGTTTTACAGCTCTTGTTGAGGAGCTTCTCAGAATGCCTGGTGTCCGACTCTCAGGCACTGGCTGGTCATCATGGGAGATGTGGTCAGCTTGCACTCAGGAATGTGCCAAAGGCTACCGCACTCGCAAACGCAGCTGCACCAACACAGATGGCAAAAACATACCCACTGCCTGTCGCGGATCGCCTGTAGAATATCAGGACTGCAATCCTCAGCCCTGTCCAGGTAACACACAAGCTCAGAAACATGCATAGAAACACAAGCAATGACGAGATGCAATTTTACATAGGCAAACAGAAATATGCACATCAACGGACTCCCACATATGCGCATAATCAAGGTAGTTGCTCATTATGATGGGAAAACCTCTGCTTCCATTAGAGTGTGTGAAGTGTATTACTGATTTCATTAGCTAATGGAAACATGAAGCCCCATAGGGACCTGCTGTGCTCAGATTAAGAGGTTTCACCATAATTCCAAACAGACATGAACTCAAGGTTAAATCGAGTGTTTTTTTTCCTGATTTAGAAATCACAAGATCAAATCATATTTCCAGAACTTTAAATGTGGCATGTGAAGTGCAATAAAATGACTTAACCACTTAAAGTGGTTGCTAAACTAGCAATGTTTTAGATTGAAAATACTAATGACAAAACCTGCCACCAAGCTTATTTTCTGTAGATGAACAGGAAACTGCTGTTTGATTGCTGAGATGTTTTTTTAAGGGTTTTCTTTTTCTTTTCTTTTACAAACTGTTGGAGTATGTGATTGCTAGGTTGTTTAGAGATGGAAACAGACCATTTAAAAGATAATATAAGATTAATAACAGATAGTTCAAGAGTGATCACTGGGAGTTTAGGGATGCTAACAGACAGATTAAAGATTCTCACAGACAGTTTACTGATGTTGACAAACAGTTTAAGGATGTTAACTTTAGAGAGTATGTAAGAGTATGTGATTGCTAGACTGTTGAGGGATGCTAACAGACCGTTTAAAGGTGTTAACAGACCATTTAAGGGTGTGTGAACACTTATAGGATGCTAATAGGCAATTCAGGGATAATCATAGATAGTTCAAAAGTGCTCATTGAGAGTTTAGGGATGCTAACAGACAGATTAAAGATGATAACAGACAGTTTACTGATGTTGACAAACAGCTTAAGGATACTAACATTAGAGTATGTGATTGCTAGGTTGTTGGGGGCTGCTAACAGACTGTTTAAAGGTGTAAACCCTGTTCAAAAACAGAACAACTTAAACTAGCCTAAGCTGGTTTGCTGGTCGACCAGCCTGGTTTTAGAGGGGTTTTGGCCATTTTTGGCCTGGTCTTACCTGGTCTAGCTGGAAAATGAACAGCTAAAACCAGTTTGACTAGCCTGGTTTAAGCTGGACATAGCTGGTTTTGGCTGGGCTCACAGCCTGGCTAGGGTGGTCATGCTGTTTTTAGTTGTCATCTCCCAGCCTGACCAGCTAAAAAACAGACTGGAAATAGTCAAAACTTCTTTAAAACCAGGCTCGCCGACCAGCTAAAACCAGCCAACCAGCCTAGGCTGGTTTAAGCTGTTTTTTCAGCAGGGTAACAGACCATTTAAGGGATGAGAACACTCATAGGATGCTAACAGACACTATATGGCTGATAACAGATAGTTCAAGAGTGCTCACTAGGAGTTTAAGGATCTAACAGACAGAAGATGCTAACAGACAGTTTACTGATGTTGGCAAACAATTTAACGATGCTAACATACTATTTGGGGAAGCTAATACACAGTTTTGGGATGTTAGTCTATTAGTTTAAGGATGCTTACAGTTTATGAATGTAACAGACAGCAGGCAGTATATAAATGCTAGCATAGTTTAAGGATGCTAACAGACAGTTTGGAGATGTTAGTCTATTAGTTTAAGGATGCTAACAGACCGTTTACGAATACTAGCAGACAGTTTATGAATGTTAGCACAGTTTAAGGATGCAAACAAAAAGTTTAGGGAACACACAAACGGTTTATGTCTGCTAACAGGCAGTTTATGAAAGCTAAAAGATAAGGATGCAAACAGACTAACACACAGTTCAAGGAGGTTAACAGACAGTTTTAAAGTGCAAAAAGTGTTTAGAGATGCTACCAGATACAGTAGTAGTGTAATGATGATAACAGTTAGTTATGTTGACAGATAGTTTAGGGATGTTAACAGACATTTTAAGGATGCTAAGAGACAGATTAATATGGGACTATTCCCATAGTTATTACAGTCCTCTTTTAAAGAGACACAGTGATTTAATGGCAGTCTGAAATATAGCACTTCACCTTTACAACAGCATAGTGCAAATGCCTGGCCTGTCGTCCTAAAAGTCACCAACATATAGTTTATGTGTTTCTTTGGGTATTGACAGCAAGTTGCCAAAGCATTGCCCATTTTAAACTTTCTCTGAATGTGACAATGAACATCTCCAGTGTTTGCTATGCTGTTTTTCCACACAGGCAGAAAAGGGAAATAAGATTGAAATAACAGAGCAGAGGGGAAGTGGGTAGGGCACATAGATTCAAACACATCACTGACATCAGGCCAACCATTTTAATCATCATTTTGACCTCAGTGTTGCTTCTCAATCCAACGTCTAGCTTTTCCCTGAGGTTGCTGGACTCACTGTGATTACGATCGGTCTGCCTTCGCACTTCAGTCATGGCCCAGTACACACATGCTAATCCACTGAAGTTAAACGGTGCTTTCTAGTCCAGAGAGAGAAGCCGCCACCCCTAACCTTCTCCTCCATCAGTCTGATGAGACATCGAGAGGATGGTGGCAGGGCTGTTAAAGTGGGAGAAAACTACACAACAGCTTCAGTCATTGGAAATCTAATTTAAAGGGGTAACTGTAATTTGGCTGATTTCTGGCTGGGAGACCATCTTGGACCAATAACAAATGAGTTGGTTATATCAGCTTAAGATGGTCAAGCTGTTTTTTTGGAACATGGTGACCAGCTGGAGTCCAGCCACCTGTTTAATCTAGATTTCCCAGCATGGATAAACAAAGAAAAGGAGGAGAACAGCTGGCGTTCAGTGTTAACAAGTCTCAAGTGTTTGGTGAGGAGCTTTGCAATGCTGTTTGGGACTCGGAATGGACCCGTGCGACATTCTGTCCTGAACTCTGAATGTCTGGATCACCATCACATCCCATAACAGATGTTTGCTTGCCTTGTCCGCCTTGTGAGAATTTCCAGTCATGTCCGTTTTACTCCCCTTGGATTGTTTTATGTGTTTGCCTGTTTGATTGATGTTGTTTTATGCTTGTGTTCCGTACATCGTGTTTGCATCCTCTGCTCTGTCTTTTTTTGTTTGTGCTGCATTTGCGTCCGCTTATCTGATGCTTGGATGATTGTGTCCCCCTGCTTGCCTGATTGTTTTGTGTTTGTCTCTGTATGTCGTATTTGTCCGTGCGTATTTGGTCTATGCAGTTAAAGGCGCCTGGTCTTGCTGGTCATCATGGTCGCAGTGTTCGGTTCCCTGTGGAGGCGGACACTACCAACGAACACGCACATGTACAAGCCCTGCCCCTGCCAATGGAGGGGACATCTGCATCGGCTTGCACACAGAGGAGGCTCTTTGCAACACGCATACTTGTGATGGTAAGATCAGCTCCAATCCAATGAACTATTAGGAATGTTGTTTCAAAACACTCCAGCACCACCTCTGTCTGTAAGCAGAATGTGTTGATGTGCTATCTGTCCATCAACACCTGTTATTGCCATGCAGTTTCTACCCTTGCTGAAAAGTCCATTTTACTCTATAGCCTGGTTGACCAGCATGGGCATTTGCCAGCAAATTATGTGTGTGACCAAGTTACTGGCTGCCGTTCACGTCGCCTCGTGGTTCCATCCCAAAGAGGGAAGAAATCACTTTCGCGAACGCTCACATTCAATCTGCCCAGTTGGTGGAATGAACTCCTTAACTGCATCAGAACGGCAGAGTCACTCGCTGTTTTCAAGAACAGACTAAAAACTCAACTATTTAGTTTCCACTTCACTTCCTAATCTGCAATTGCCTCTCTGAATAAAAAAAATTACTTAAATATTACTAATACTTTCCTTCTTAGACTGTACGGACCTGAAACTTGCCTATAGCACTTATTCATTGTTGCTCTTATAGTTGTGTAAATTGCTTCCTTTTCCTCATTTGTAAGTCGCTTTGGATAAAAGCCTCAGCTAAATGACTAAATGTAAATGTAAGTTCACTTTGCGGCCACTAGTACTATAGTAACCATAGCTTTTGATGTCTAAATACAGCTTATAGGCAAAATTAAAGAACAATTTCACTGTTCTCTCTTCCTCTTTTTTTTTTTTTTTTTTTTTTTTGCATTTACAATTTATGTGTTTGAGAAAAATGTGATTTTTGTTTTATTCTGTAAACTACGCATAGCATTTTTATCCAAATGTTTGTTATCATTAAGAGCATTTCTTTTGCATAATATAATGTTTTTAGACATATTTAGCTTGGCTTTTAGACAGAATTATTGCAGTTTTAGGTTCATACGTGTTAAGAAACTATTTATTTGAATAACCCTGATTTTCTATGACAATAATAAAATTATTTGTTGTTCTGATCCATTAGCATTTTCTGTGAAAAAAAGCTTTAAATAAAGGTTTTCTTTATTTCAAGAGTTCACTCTTGGTTGATCATCGATAATAAAGAGTATTTGGCATGCTGTCCCAGGAGAGAACCCTGAGCTCAAAAGATCCTCGAACCTGGAACTCCCTCCCAATAGAAGGGTTAGAGGGGAGTTTGAGCTCGGGCATAGATCTCGAGAACTTCCCCGCTTATAAATGGCAAATTATGAATCACTATTGAAATATACTGTTGACTCATATAGTGCCAATTTGGTTTGGTCATTTCACATTTGTCGCATGTCTTTGGACTGTGGGAGGAAACTGGGAAACCCACACGATCATAGGGAGAACATGTAAACTCCAGAAATGTAGGCTGGCCTGGTAAGGACTTGAACTAGTGACGTTTTTGCTGTGAGGCAACAGTGCTAACCACTGGGCTGCCAAGGTGCCCTGTCTAAATAAGGGGCGAGGAGTAGGGGTGGAAGGGGGGATTCTTCAAAACGAAGATCTTGAGGTAAAAATTTCTGGTTATTTATGGTGAGTTAGAAATTGACTGATTGGTGGATTGTATGTTAGCTAATGCTGGACTAGCCATGTTCAATCATAATCACATGCTCCTCTCGAAATTAGTTTATAAATAAACCACACAAAATTAAAAAAAGAACATTTTACTCAAACCATATGTAATTACAGTAAATCCAGCAAAACTGAGACTTATCAAGTTTTTTTTAATCTTTTTTTAATTGATAGTTTACCTCAAAATCCAGCCTGATTTCTTGATTAAATTAAACTGTTGTTATGTAACGTTACTATTGTAACAAAACGTTTTACATATTGGCAGAAAAGTCTCTAATTCATTTGAATTCTTCGATTTCATTATATGGAAATGTATGATTTTTTTAACGTAGGCATGTCCCAACCATCATTGGGGGATGAGCAAATCATTCTTAAAATGTATAAATGAGAAACAAATGATGAGACAAATGATGAATTCATACGAATTAGCCACTAAATCAATAAGTTATAAACCGCGTTCGAAATCGCCTACTCCCATACTATATAGCACGCTAAAATCAGTTTGCATGCCGAGTAGTACATCCCAATTTATAGAATTCGAAAAGCAGTTAGTGTAGAATGCAACTGATGCGCACTTCGGGTGAGATTCTGAAGTGCGCATCAGTTGGATTCTACACTAACCCATGATCCCCCTTGGGAGAATTCATGAATGGAAGTGAAGCGATGCAACTGATGCGGGTAGGTCACTCGATAGTGACAAAATGGTGTTTGTAGTACGTCTGAGTTTCATTCATACTACTCACGTTCATACTGTGTAGTACATACTTTTCTACCGGCCGAGTAGTACATTTAAATTCAAATGCAGTACCTACCGAGTAGTAGGCCATTTCAGACGCAGCCATACATTTCTGTGAGAAATCAATCACAGTTCTGTTGCCATTTACTCAAACTCCTGTCATCCTAAAATTCTTTCAAAGTTCTCCCTTTTGTGGGTGTCAATATTTTTAAAAAGCATCTCAATGTTTTTGAAATAAATAAAATCATCAATTAAACCATTAATATGCTGAGAACTGTGCCTTTAAGAATCTTGGCGAGCACAATAGCCTACTCAACACATTATTTGCTGATCTTTCCTTTTCAGCAGGGTAGCTTATTTATGACCAGGTGATCATCACGGCATCACTGAAGGCATGATTTCAAACCCCTGAATCCCCAGAAACACATTCTTTAGATTCACAAAGGCCTTTCTGGGTCGTCCAAGCTAGAGATGGCACTATATGTGACCTGCATGCAGATAGAAGCTGTGTGTTTGTAGTGACAGTGTGAAGCTCTGTTGTGATGATCAGTTACCATCCCTTTAAAAAATCATCTGTCCCTCTCAGACAAAACTGAAATATTTATGAAGAATCGTGCGCAAATCCCCTGTAGCTTTAAAAAAAATACCACCTTTGTTTTGCCTCTGGCTTTCTGATTTCAAAGCTCAACTTCAAGCTGTCATTATCAGACCTGCCTAATTATTGCTCAAACTAAATTAAGTGCCTTTAAAATATTTACCCGCCATTCCATCTGATATTAAGAGCAAAATTAGAATGAAAAAAAAACTAAACATTAACATTCAGATAGAGCTCTTCATGAAGTATGTTTGCTTCAGGAAAATAAATGAAGATAAGTATAGCAGTTATGTGTGCTGCCTTTTATCGTCGTTAACAGAAATAATATATTTTCAAGTCTGTGCTGATATTAAAGTCTTTTGGATCATAGATTCAAACATTTGTCCCCTGTTGGCCCCCTTCATGAATGACAGATTTGTTTCTGAGAGAATGATAAAGCTGCTTGCGATTTAGACAAGCATGTTAAAAGCTGAAACATGAAAGGAATGTGTATATTTACAGCTTGGATTTTCCCAGCAAACAAATACATTTTAAATCAAAGTTTCTTCTAAGTAAAGTTCTCGGTACACTTGCTCTGAAAGTGTTGCCTCAGACTGTGATTATTTTTGCCTCCCCGTGTGAATCTGGTGGTGTTTGTTTCATGTGTGTGGGTGGGCTTTTGAGTCGGCAGTGCTCTAGATAGATGGCTGTCTGAACTGTGAGGATGGCCAAAATTGCAGCGCTCTATTTAAACATTAAAGCTCTGTTTTTCCTCCCAAGGTTTTGCTATCATTTTCTCATCGTTATGTTGTTCCAAACCTTTATGATTTTCTTTCCTTTTTTTTGCACCAACAAAAGGAGACATTTGAAAAGTGCTGGTGTCTCTTTGTGCAATTGCTAAGAGCTTCAAAATGCACCCAAACGTACCCATGTAATGCTGTAAGTGGCCAACAGGTGTAAATGGGGTCTAAAAGTTTTTCAACCACTTTGACAGTAGTACACTTAAAGCCATAACTAGCCCGAATCACTGCATAAACTGTCTCAGAAATTAGACCTGTGTCTGACCTGACATCATTTATTTTAAACCTGCCTGGATCAAAACGTAAGCATGACTTGTGTAAATTCTGCTGTCCTGCTGATTAATTTTACCGCTACTTCATTAAAGGAACACTCCATTTTTTAATGGAAATAGGCTCATTTTACAAGTCTCCTAAAGATAAACGGTTGGGTTTTACAACTTTTGAATCCATTCAAGTTGATCTCCGGGTCTTGTGAGCATTTTTAGCTCAGCATAAATCATTGAATCGGATTAGACCATTAGCATCTCGCTCAAAAAAATTAAAAAATATTTTTTGAAAAATTTCCCTTTAAAAACTTGTCTATTGTTGTATCAGGTACTAAGAAAATTAAAAGTTGCTGCTTTATAGATCAATATGGCTTGTCAAGGAACTTTGCTGCCATACCATGGTTGCAGCAGACACAATGATATTGTAATAATCCCTAGCTGCATAAAATAATGAGCGATGCATAATATCATTGCGCCTGCTGCAGCTTTGGTAAAACAGCAAAGTTCCTTGATTATCACACAAGAACATAGTATGATGAGAGTATAGTTCCTAGCCATATTGACCCACAAAATTATTTATTTTCACCTGGGAAAATTTAAAAATGGCAAAACTGAACTGTTTAACTCTACTGGGAGTTGTAAAATGTGCCTATTTTTTTTTTTTAATATGGGAGTTGTATGTGGGAGTAGTAAAATGTGCCTAACAGTGTTCCTTTAATTAATTAATTAAATAATTAATTAATTAACTAACTTTTTTATTTAACTTTAGATCTGTTAATCAACCTCAGTCCTGATCAAAACTACTAAATTGCTCAACAGTAAATTAAAATGTAACAATGCAACAAAGTTATTGTTGTTGCTAATCGGTCACATGTCTAAGACTGTGATAAAACTGAAAAAAATAAATCAGTTTGCAATTATTTTTTTTTATTAAAATACATAATTTTTTCACCAAATCAGTGAACTATTTTTCAGTGAAATTTGTGAACTAGGCAATTAAAGAGTTAATATCCTGTAAGTTTCTAAATAGTTTAGTAGTTTTGATCAGGATTTAGGTTGATTAACAGATTTATGCAAAGAAATTTGAAGAAAAAAAAAACCACATTATTATTAACGGCCTAATGGATACAAGTTATTTGTTTGGCTTCCTGTTGTGACAAGTTGACGGGACAAGTAACTCAACATGAATTCAATAAAAAATAAAACCCTTAGCTTAAAATGTCATCCGCTAGTTTTGTCTGCAACACTGTTTACCTAATCACCAGCTAAAGGCTTCTTCTTTAACAACAACAAAAAAAGAATAGAGCATGAATACACGCTATAATGAACCATGTGGGTTTTCCTGATGGATTTCATATATGTAAGATGAATTTATATGTAACTATTTTTACAAAAATGCTTTTAACAAGAACACACAATAGTCAATAATCACTCATTGCTTCATCTTATAACATTCAGGTCTTATCTAATCTATTTTAAAAGCACATTTATTTTAAATATCCTGAGACCTGAAGCCAATAATACCACAGATACCGTTTTGGACCCAAACCTGTTAAGGTCTCAAGTTAGACCGCTGGTTTCTGGATATGCCTGTAAGTGAAGAACATATATTAGCTATAACATAGCTACAAAATATCATCTGCTGCAATTGTCTCAAACTTAATTCCTGGAAGGTCATTTCTGCACAGTTTAGCTACAACCAGTTTCAAAGCAGTGGTCACACTGTACTTTTGGCTCCATACACTTCTATTCATACTCATGCGAATGCGATAGAAACACATTCTAATGTGACAAGTTTCGCAGTTTGCTGCATTGCAAAGTTCAAGCTTGGTGAACTCTGACCTGCAAAATTGCATCATGTGACTGCGTGAGACCAATTGAAGATCAAAACATGACCTCTCTGGACAGAAATTGAAAATACGGAGCAATCGATCTCTTTTTTAATGTATAATTATTTTGTTTAATCCCACCGTACGGCAGAGTTTCACATTCTCAAACTCTAGTGTGACCACAGCACAACTCACACCTGCTAAATAGTTTTTAGTAGTCTTGAACACCTTAATTAGTTGGATCAGGTTTGTTCAATTAGAGTTACAGCAAAACTGTGCAGTGCTGTAACCTTCCAGGAATCGAGTTTGAGACCTCAGATCGACTGTATGCGTTCAATCCACGTATTGCATAAAGCGCTTGTTGAAACAAGAAAATAATTTCCTTAATGAAATCTAAAAAACAAGTGGTAATAGGAGGCATATCTAAAACCATCTGAACAAACACAAGATAAAACTGGCAGTGTATCAGCTGACCATTTGCAATCCGATCAGTAAAACTTCAGGTCGAAACAAGGCCTATGAGTTTAGGTTGAAAACTGGATCAGTTTACAAATGAGCAGGGCCAGACAGAATCTGAGGAATCGCTAACTTTCTTTGTATTTCTATGCAAACTTTTGTTAAAAACAATATTAATAGTAATTATTCATATGCATTAATAGTTATTAATTTAATAATATGCAGATATATGCGCAATGATATTGAGTGTAGAGTATTTTAAAATATTAAGAACAACTTGATTAGTAAATAAAGCCACAGTAGCTCTCATATAATGAGCTACTCTATATAAAGACAATAACAAATTACTTTATAAATAGTATTAAGCAGTAATGAACTAAAATTTGCATGTATATATACTTTTTTTTTTTACACTCATTTACATGTAAATAGGCTGAACTATTTAGAAGTAAAAAGGCTGAATGAGAATGGGCTCAAAAATCTGTGGAAGTTTTCTGTGGGTGCAGATTCAATGTTAAACTAAACCGAACTATACTGAACTTCAACTAACCCTAACTTTAACTTAAAAACTGGACTGACACAGTTTCAATTTGCTAAAACTTTCATGTAAGCTGCTTTGACACAATTTACACTGCAAAAGCGTGATATTAAAATAATAAATATTAATTAAAATTGATGTTGGCCTGCAAACAAGTCATTTTTTGGACTTAAAAAAAATCAGTTTTGTTATTAACAAGTCACTCTGAACATTTCATAGTTGACAGAAGAAAATCAAAGGTTTGCAATGACATGAGGTCGAGTAAATGACAGAATGTTGCTTTTGGAGTGAACTGTGCTTGTGTCTGTGTGCAGGTGGCTGGATGGCCTGGTCTGTGTGGTCTGAGTGTGATGATTCAGGCCTGCAGCTGCGCAGTCGAGTGTGTGGAGCTCAATCCATGCCATGTGCGGGAAACAGCTCCCAGCACAGAGACTGCAATGAGATCCCAGGTGAGAGACAGCTATACACAGACACACATACAAATATGTATATATATTTGTATATATCCACACTCCAGTTGACTGGTCCATCACGAAGCAAAGCGTTTCCCAATTGCGATGTTGCTCTTAATAAATAAACATACACTTTTAAACCCTGTCAAACTCGCTGTTGTTTTAATAGATTAGATGTAATATGTTTACTTGCGTTTATTCATTACTCTGGCTGGTGGAGTGGAAGTGTTCAAAGTGAAGAACTGAACGCAGCCTGCGAGAACACGAGTTATCAGAGCGGAATACCAAGTGAATCAGGCACTCTAATTAATATTAATGCTATGCCACAAGGCAGCCTCACATACAATTTCTCTCCAATTTTGGGAAACGGCTTCCAAAATCCTGAGGTGTCTTAGACGGTGAGGAGATCAAGGAGAATTGTGCATCTCAATCAAAACCTCTCCCCCCATCCTCCTCTATACCAATTTCTGCTCTTTGTGGAGATTTCAGATAGAGCTTGAAAAGCATGACTTTGGGTGGTAATGGAGCACCTCAGACTCTGTTGCAGCGGTGAAAAATGTGTTTCTGTTGAAATGCACCTCATCACTTCATCTTAAATGGAATATTTACTCTAAACAAGCGTTTTTTTGCGAAATAGCTTGCAGTTGTTTTACTGGCATTGTCATTCATATCTAGGGTGTTTAAATACTTAATGGAAGCATGGTGGTAATAATTTCATAACTTTTATGTGACCCGATGACAGGCTTTGATGTGTTTTTCTCTACTTTATCGCCGAGCCCCTGCTCATCCCTCAGGTACAAAACAGGACACTGTCTTCCTCAACACTCACATCTACAGCTCTTTGAATCATCCTACTTTCTGGAAGACTGCTTTTGATTGTAGAGAGTGGAGAGGGGGAGAAGATAGAGAATGATTGACATTTTGGCTGTAATTCAATAAATGTAGGGAGGAAAAAAAAGACAGAAGGTGGGTCGTTCATACTGGACTGTTTCTTCCATCAGTCTTTGGTTGAGTTGGTCAAAACCCAGATTCAGGCAGCAGAACTGACAAAAAGCATGCTAAGTGGATTAATGAAAATGAAATACATCATATACACTACCGGTCAAAAGTTTAGGGTCGTTTTTTTTATTATTCTTCTTTTCAAGGCGACATTTAATTAAATGTCAAATAAATTGTTAAATACTTCTTTATTAACTATTTATTTCTTACTTATTGTATGTAGTTTTAAATGAAATGATTAGTCTACTCATTATTTATTTCATTACAATTTCCATTAATAATAATATTAATAATTATTATTATTATTAGAGTGATTTCTGAAGGATCATGTGACTCTGAAGATTGGAGTAATGAAGCTAAAAAATAATCTGTAAAATAACTGGAATAAACTATTTAATTGACTGATAAACTGCTTTTGAACAGTTATTTTATAGTGCAACAACATTTGATAATTGTATAATTTGTACTGTGTTCTTGATTAAATAAATGCAGCCTTGGTGAGCAGAATAAGCTTATTTTAAAGCATTTAAAAATTCCACTGACCCCAAACTTTTGACCGGTACTTGTGTACTTGTGCATAGTTATAATACGCCAGAATGGATTATTATATTTTAAAAGGGGGAATGCTTTTTGTGTCTTCTGATAATGACATCAAGCAGCAGCACATATATTTTATATAAGGATAATGTTATAGGTCTTGCATATTTTTCTTCCCATAAATTTGAGTATTTCCTCACATTTTCCTTTCACACATTTTTTACCATGATTCATGAAAGACAAAAGTCAGTCAGTTGGTTTAACAATAGTTTATAAACTTTATTTATCTTGTCAGGCATATTTAGAGCAAGAACCGTTTGATGACATATTAAGGAAACAGGAATAAAACAGACAAGTATAAGAAAAGAAAAGTAATTAAAAACATATAAAAACAGATTAATGTATTAAAACAGGTTATAAAAGAGTGAAAAAGAAAAGAAAGACACAATAGTGTGATCTGTCAGACGTAGCACAGTGCACAGTAAAGGCACAACTAAAATTATGTTTTTTTAAGTCTTGATTTGAATGTATCTGATGTTGGAGCACATCTGATCATTTCTGTGAGCTGATTCCAGTATAGTAGCTGACGGCAGATTCACTATGCTTTAAATGAACTCTAAAACAATGATGGCAGCAGCTGAAACACAGAGTACAATGGGTGATCTGGGGTGCATAGGATACCCTGAGCTCTCTTTAAAACGTTCATTCATTCATTTTCTTTTCAGCTTAGTCCCTTTATTAATCTGGGGTCGCCACAGTAGAATGAACCGCCAACTTATCAAGCATATGTTTTACGCAGCAAATGCCCTTCCACCTGCAACCCATCGCTGGGAAACATCCATACACACTCATTCACACACATACACTACAGATAATGTAGCTTACCCAATTCACCCGTACCGCATGTCTTTGGACTTGTGGGCGAAACCAGAGCACCCGGAGGAAACCCACACAAACACGGGGAGAACATGCAAACTCCACACAGAAACGCCAACTGATCCAGCCGAGGCTCGAAGCAGCAGCCTTCTTGCTGTGAGGCGAACGTGCTACCCACTGCGCCGTTGTGCACAACTCTTTAAAAACATAATCCTCTTTAAAACATAATAATGGTACATTACCATTGAACCAGTTTGATTAAAACCGATGATCTTACCAGCCACATTCACAAGGCTACTCAACCTGTTTTTATTTGACAGCCTCAGATTATAGTATAATGCAGAAAAATAAAACGGATTCAATAAGTTGTTCATAAAACAGTGTGAACATAGAGATACTATCTAAGAACTATCTAAGTTTTGGGTTTTTGTTGAACTTTTTTATCGACAGCCTGGGTGTTACGTTGAAATGTCAACATATTGTAAATAACACCCTCTAGATATTTATGTGTCAACAATTTCAATGTCCAAATCTTTTGTTTTGCTGGGGGTAGGAGGAGCCTCCTTGTAATCTATCAATCACCATGTCTTTTATTTTATTTACATTCAACTGGAGAGAAAATCTATCACATCAGAAGTTAGATTCTTCCGCAACAGGACCATGCCCCCAATCCTGATTGGTTGTTGCTAGATTAGATATGGTTGCAGTCTGAAGTTAACGAGAAATTTTCATATTATTTATTACATTTGCTGTTTATTGTATTTTATGAACATCTGCCCCCACCCCAACCCTAAACCAAACCGTCACAGTGATGTAAAAACAGTAGTTGTACAAAGTACTATTTATGCTCTCTATTAAATTACCCAATAAATTGTATTTTTTAATGCCTACCCCCACCCTAACCCTAAACTTAATCATAACATTGCTGTAAAAATATCAATTATTGTTATACAGTGTCATAAAAAATGCTGCTATATTGATGTGCATATCGCACTTCTGGCTGGCGGAATATCTGATCTAGACTTTACCATCTTGATCCTGACACAATCTACATTGTAAAAGCACTATAGAAATAAAGATGAATTGAATTGAAATTTAGCTGACACTGATTTGTGCCAGTGGAATAATCATTCCATAGTCACCTTTTCTAAGGCAGTTCATTGTATACTATGCATTGGTTTATGCGTCATGGCTATCAAATCCAAGACAGCCATTTCCAGCATCATTCTTTACTGTTAAAGCTCAAATTTAGATTCTGACGCAAAACTTGTTGACAGCTCCTTCTCTAGATGGATGTCTTCAATGCATCTTGAACCTCGATCACAGTGTTTTTAAGATGATGTGTCAAGTTGAAAGATGTTCGTCATCAGCTTATCCTCTGTGAACAGCCCTTAACTATAAACATCTCCATATCTCTCCACAGCCATTCTTCCGGCATCCAGCTATGAGAAGGACCAGCAGTGTGGAGGTAAGTGCTTCGCCATATTTGTTTGCATTGAGTGCATGTTAGTATGCGCATGTGCATGCGTGCTGAAGGCTCAAAGACATGTACTAGTGTGCTGCTTGTGTGTCGTTTTCACCTCAGCTCCTTCCCATCCCAAAATCAGCAAGAAATGACATTGCTAATGAGTGAACTTCACCATTGCTGATTTTTTTTCCATGTGTCGTGGCTCTTGCTGCGCTCCCATGCAGAGGTGCTGCCTTTTCCAGTCTATCAAACACATGAAAGGGCGCAGTGGTGCTTTTTAGGTTGCAGATCCAGGCCACATGGGGCAGAGATGGCGCCGCAGTGCCAGTTTGGTGGTTCTCCAGGTGGCAGCACATATTACCCATCATGCTCCAGCTGTGGCGCTCTCCTGAGTGATCGTTGTCCAATTAGAGCAGTTCATGACGGGGTATAGCAGTCGCTCTCCTCAATCACATTTTCGCACTCATTACGGGTCAAACCGGCAGGATGCCCGGTCCGTCACATCGACCGGCTAATCACAGCGCTGTCCCTCGGTACTGCATCATTCAGCCAGACGTTCTCTAGCACCTGGTTGACGGCTGTGGGACATGTAGCGTTAATGATGAGGGATGCAATTCCACCGACATGGGGGATTTAAAAAACAAAAAAAGCATTTTTAGTAAATGAGAGTGCCAACATATTACAGTTGTTTGCAGACAAGTGGTTGTGGTAATGTTGCTTTCTCTTGTTCCCCCAGGGTTCACTCTGCTCCACCTGATAGCGACAGGTGTGTCGTGTTTTCTTGGTGCCGGTCTGCTGTCTTTCCTGGTGTATGTTTACTGTCAGCGGTTCCACAAGCCCTCGCAGGAGTCTGCCATCATCCATCCCACCACTCCCAACCACCTCAACTACAAGGGCAACACCACACCAAAGAATGAGAAATACACACCCATGGAGTTCAAGGTCAGTTGACCAGAAAAAGCTTATTACAATTAAAACTGATTGCGTTCAATTCAAATCAGCGTTTCTTTAGTATGTTTTGGGTTTTGTTGATCGTGTTGCTGCATTCAAACTTATATCAGACTCAAACTCAAATCACCGACTGAGTAAATAAAAATGATGAAATAAATTCCAGCAAGCATTTTGTATTTGTTTAAAAGAAGTCTAATAGATGTTAAAAAAATTATGTCTTGGCTAAAGCAAGGCTAAATTTGGGCTGTCAGTGAAAATCTAATAGACGTCTAACAACAGTCCAAAATTAGACTAGACATCAAGAAGACAGGAATGATTAGCTGTACATGTGAATCTGTGTATTTGATGACTAGTCTAATTTTTGGCAGTCCTTATTTTAGCATGGACATCTATGTTTAGACATCTATTAGACATCTTTTTAACATACAATTGCTTGACAAAATGAACACCGAATGAGTCCAATGTAAGGAACTGTTTATGTCAGCACTATGTGGGGATGTTTTGTATATTTATGTTTTTTTATTTCATAAGGTTTACCTGAGAGGTAACATCTTTGTAGAGTCACATACCTGTCGGTCTATTGCAGTTCTCAGGGATTGCTTCTTTAGTGGCTGTTTTTATTCACAGTGTGCAAGACTTTTTAGTCAGATGGATTTTTTTTTTTTGCTTAAATAAATGGCATTTTTTAATTATTTGAAAATATGTAAATGTAAGCCCCATAAATATCTGAAATTATGTTTTAGGTTTTTTATCAAATAAATGCAGCTTTAGTGAGCATAGGAGACTTAACTTGATTTCAAGCTCTTGTACAGTTGTGCATATATTCATGTCAGATTGATTTTTGATGGACTTAAAATTATAAATGCAAATAAAAAATAGATTTAGTGAAGACTCAAATGGCAGGGATATGTAGAACTTTGGAGATGTAATATGCACATAGATCTGTGCAGATTTTCAGTGAGCCTGGGGATAAGATTCTGGACAAGATCTGTGGCCTGAGAACTGTACATAAATCTCTGTGGATTTTCGCAGTTGCATGTCCTGTTCAGGATGCTCAGTCAAACAGATTTAGAGAGTACCGCTAAGCGCTTGCCCAGCATTTGCTACTTTTCTTGGAAGTGCATTTACAAATCAGGGCTGCAATTCAAAATTAGCCAAAAAGTAGTCCAGTTGCATTCCAGGGTTGAGTGAGTGACCCCCTTCAATTGAAACGTTGGGATAAATCAAGTCCCACAAGGTTTCTGTTCAGTTTACCTCAGGATTTTGACTAGCTTCCTCTAGGAATATATAGATCAAAAAATGTAATGTAACATAAATATTATAAAAATAATTAAATTATTAGAATTTGTTTAACACACTTAATCTATCCATATTTGTAACTATTTAGAACACCAGTGTTCCAAAACTCACAAGAGTCCCTCCGGAAAACATTAGCGTTTTTTGTACTTTTGTACTGCACATTTATTTTAGTTTAGTGCAAAAGTAAGCATGTTAACATTTTAAGCTGTAAAATTTTGCTTCTAGTTGTCTTTATAACAGCACTAAACTTGTGCTCACTTTTCACAGTCACCAGCTCAATATATCAGGGGAGTTTAGGACAAAAAATTTACATGAGTACTGAAAATTTGAAAAATTATGAAAAAGATTTGATATACATTAAATATGGACTGTTTTTAAAGGTATTGACAGCAAATAAGTAGCTTGTGAGTTTCAATATATCAGTCCTGCAGTATTGATGTGTCCATCTTTAGTTTCCCCTCGATTGAACCTCTACATAAAAAAAAAAAAACATTTGCAGCAATAGTGTAAAAGAAGCCCAGTTCTGTGGAGAAATAGAGGACTTGGAAACATAGCTATAAATGACTTTTATACATTCTTTACATATGGAATGTGCCACAGAATGCAATAATACATGATGTTTAAACAAATCTCTTATATCCACATAAAAGGTAGTGCAAAAAAATATTTATAAATAAAATAACTCCAGAAATTGTTTTACAAGGCCATTTATATGTTTAGAAATTGGCCCTTGAATGAAAGCTCAGTTTTTATCGTATTTAGAAGGGTTGCGAATATTAATGAGCTCTCCTCTCGCTCATGATTCTGATGCTCACACAGTGTGATGTACTTTGAAATACACGTTAGGACAAAGTGAGCTATCTCTATGCAACTAAGGGTGTACTCACACTATGCTATCCGAACCGTGCCCAGGCCCGTTACCCGGATCGTTTGAGAAGTGTGAGTGCTCTGAATCGGGCTCAGGCATGGTTCACTTGGCCGGCCCTGGCCCGGTTGGAAGAGGTGTGCCAGAGAGCAGTTTGCTTGGGCTTTGGCACTTTACGCTTGTAGTGTTAGTGCAAAGTGCGCCTGAGCCCGAAACTGAAGACGAGATGTGACTTTTAAGGGACTGTTTCATATGTGTTAATGAATCATTCTTACTGTTCAATGAGCACAAACTGTCGTAGTTTAATAAAGACACAAACCCCTCACTGCACGACCGCTGCACCTTCAGCAAACCTCCTAATTCCTGCAGCACGAGGACTTTATAATTGTTTATGAGCGTCAAAAGTGGCTGATCTGTTCAGTGAAATATTTGACTGTCTGTCACTGCATCCCGACGACTAAACAATATAATTAAAGCAATCTTTACTGTGCTGAGCGAAAGTGCTTACTTGACAGCGCATCATTGATAGCGTAAGAGTGCAGGCCATTGGGGGAGATGGGAGGGGGGACAAGCGTGCTTAAGTGTTGAGAATAAAATTATATTTTCTGAGTGTAACATGCAAGTATACATTTTTTGAAGTTTATTGCCACCCTTTCACTCCAGAAAAAAAACACTGTAAGAGCTGAGTGATGACACAGTGCGTAAATGCGCATTAAGCAACTAGATTTAGCAGTTTACATGTGTCTGTTGGCTCAGTACAAATGCACACGTCAGTTTCATTATTACAAACATACACTACAAATTACTCAATATACACAAATAAATAATAAAACATACAGTAAAACAGGGTGGCACTAAATAAACGTAGAATCCAAATTTTACATTCTGACCAGTGAGAAAATGTTACTCTGTGGCTATCTATGACTGCCAGATTTCAAAATGAGAGTCCCACATACATTGGAAATAGAAAAAGCTGTGCGGTAAATGATTACAGAAAAATATTATTAATGTAATCTCACTAGAAAACATTGTAGCCAATGCACTGGGCATGCATAATAAATGATCCCATGTGGAATGTCACATTTCTGGCCTGTTTTTTACCTAGATTTTACACTCGTGGTTTTACAGTACATGAGAGAATCTTTTTATTCAGCTAGCTAGGCATATCCAGATTTTCATTCTATGGCACCTTTAAGCTAAGTACTTTAACATAGCTAATAAATAGCGCATTTCCTCTTAGGTTTCCCTACAGATGAGCTAGCAAAAAATGAAAATCTTATAAGCAGTCAAGGAAGCAAGCTCTGTAGGAGAACACACCGGTTTGTTTTGTCTAAAATGAGCATCGCTAGATAACTGATAGTTTGGAGATCACTGCTGGTTTTGAGTTTCCCTGCGGCCGCTTGTTTAGCCGGCTCTTCTGGCTGCACGCAGCTCCTGGCACACACTCTGTCTTTATTAATGGGCTCCATTAGGCTGTTTAAGCAGCAGCCGCTCAGTGGACTCCCACAGCTGGTTGTGACTGATCGTCAAGCTCATCCAATTAGTTTGGCTCGGCTCGCTCTCCCTCCACCTTATGTCCTTGCTGTGACACCTGCGCGAGCCTTTTGCCACTTTTTCCATCGATCTTCTGCATGACCAGTACTCACTCCAAACTCATTACAAGACTTGAGCAATGCGGGTGGATCAAGAAAGTGTCGCCCACTGCAAAAGTCTGTCAATAGCCCCTTTCACACAGTGATACCGGTAAATATCCGGAAAATTTCGGGAAAGACTTTACCGGTATATTGAAAAAAGCGCTGTTCACACAGGCGAGGACGTTACGGAAATTTTCCGGAAAAGATATTCACACATCCATTCCAAAATACCGGTAAATTCTGACATCATTCACCACAAATGAGCTTTAAACGGCTGCGCTTGTATTTGTAAACATTTGCCTAAATTACAAACTCTGTGGATGATCAATATTGTGAACAACTTTCGCAGGATCACTTTCTCATGTCGAGATGTTCATAATATGTGCGTGTGCTGGCGCTCACAGGCACCCGCAAAGCTTGAAGGTAAACAAACAACGGCTTATCATAAGCATCTCATCGATGATTATTTACACAGTTGGCATAAAGAAGAACATATAAACGTGATCTGACTAACTTCTAGCAGCTAAATGTGTCTGGAAAAATATTCAAAGGTTTTTATTCTCACAAACCGCGCGAACGTAAATGCGTCTGACTGTTGTGATTGGCTAAAGCAGACGTCTCACGTCAGCACGTTCTAGACGTGCACGCGCTTATTACGGTAATCTTCCTTCTGCATTCACACAGCGCAGCATTCCGGCAAATTGCCGGTAATGTTACAACTTCTCTTTCCGGAAAATAGCCAGAACGAATTTACCGGTATTTTCAAAAAGGACCTGTTCACACATACAACCTTTCAGGAAAATTGCCGGCAATTTCCCGGAAAGGTCTGTATGTGTGAAAGGGGCTATTGACTTACTCTTACATGGACATCAGTAATCTAGTTATTTGGCTTAATCTGAATAAGACTATAATATTATTAAGTGTTTACATTAGTTGCTGAAAGAATGTTTCCTTTTTACATGTTATAACACATAGTTCAATTCATAGATATATACCAGGGGTGGCCAACCCTGTTCTTGGAGAGCCACTTTCCTGCAGATTTCAGTTGGTACCCATATCAAACACACCTGAATCAATTAATTAGGACCTGAACACCACGTGATAATTACAGGCAGGTGTGTTTGATATGGGTTGCAACTGAAATCTGCAGAAAGGTGGCTCTCCAGGAACAGGGTTGGCCACCCCTGATATAT